AAAAATGGAATTTTTGCTTTTTAAGTTTGAATTGATTTGAATTGTAGGCGGCAATTGTACTAAAAAATGGAAGATTGACAAGAGACAGCTGGATGTGAGAACATATGAGGATTTGCGCGCTGGAAATTGCAGGGCTGGCCAAAACGACGTCGTTTTGGCCAGGAAATCTTTTTTTTTTTTGAAATTCTTGCATATTATACCGGTTAAATTTCGGTGTACCGGCCAGTATGTCGAAATTTCGGCCAGTACACCGAAATTTGACCGAAATCACCAGATTTTGACCGAAACGAAATCCTTTCTTACTCCGTTTCGGTCTACTCCCAAAACCGGTACGTACCGATTGTACCGGCCGGTACGGTACAGTATATACTTCTTTGATTTAAAAACACTCCACTTAAAAGTTCGATCGTACTAGCTCGGTTGAAATTTTGGTAGAACTTCAATAGCAAATACGGCAAAAGTAGCAAAAATTTACATAAATATGACTATATATACCAATGCGTATATGTGCTTCAACAATTGTGATTAATCTTATTTAACAGTCATAATTAGACCGCTTTGAATTCGACAGTTAATTCCTAATGAAACTCTTTTGAATTCGATGGTTCATTTTTGGTTGCGTCAATTGAGCTATTTTAGTTACTTTTTACAGCCTGTATTTATTATACACGTCTTTCAAAAGACAGATGTCGTATCATGTACTAACTTCGTGTCAGGCTTTTTCCATGGGCCTAACTAAGCCCAGCCCAAATCCTTTGTTCATACAAATGTCTTTTATTATTACAACGTATTTAACCTTAGTAACCACAAGTCACCAATCTTACTTTGACTACAGCCCCAATAACCACGAGTTACCAATTTTATTTCAACTACGGCCTCAGTGATCAGGAGTCAACCAATTTTACCTTGGCTTTGACCCTAGTGACCACGAGTTACTAATTTTACTTCGGCTACGGCCTGATGACCATGAGTCACCAATCTTACCTCGTCTATGGCCTCAGTGACTCCGAGTCACCAATTTTACCTCGATTACAACCATAGTGACTACACGTCACCAATTTTATTTCGATTATGGCCATAATGCAATGATTACTATAGTCAAATCATATACTACATAGGTTTTTACGTACTTCTTTCATTAATTGAACCTCTAACATTTCATCACATTCCATCATGCATTTCCAAATGATTATACACAAGCCTTGCCACCTTTGACTACATCATTCACAAGTGAATGACTTCGAGGGTGGAATAGTGTAAAGATAGGTCTGAGGTCAAAACCTCAGACGTACTGCTACATTTCTTTAATGACCAAGATAACTCGTAAGTTCAGTTCTTCCCCGTCATACACTTGCATGATAGCTACAGTAGGTAAAGATAGGTCTGAGGTTAAAAACCTCGGACGTACTGCTGCATTTCTTTAATGACCGAGATAACTCGTAAGTTCAGTTCTTCCCCGTCATACACTTGCATGATAGCTACAGTAGGTATGTCCGCACCCAATTCTCTATTCCCAAGATCATCACCTGAATAGACATGTTAGACTTCAATTATCTTGTTAAGGAAGCCACACGGATACCTCATTAAGGCCTATAAATACCCCTAGGGCCCACCTCAAAAAGGTAATTGAAATTGACCTAAAACTTGTTTTTCCATGATTCTTAAAGGTAGACCAGATTATTGTTGACTTAAGCATCGAAGTGTCTACCCCGAGAGGATCCACCTTAGGGCTTTGTAGGTCAACTTGAAGAGAAGACTTGGACTGAAGAAGATCTACTGTTTCATTGCAATTACAGAAAGGAAGCTCAATCGTCGGCAGTTTGAAGGGATGGCTACCAGTTATTTTATTTGAGAAGAGAGAGAGAAATCGAGGCTTTATCTAGAAGAAGAAGAAGGTTCAACCTTCTTTTTTTTTTATCTTTATCTCTTTTTTTTTTTTTTTGTAATAGTGAGTTTTTGGGTTTTGGGTTTGACTAGTTAGGTCGAATGAGCTTCGGTCTCTTTTATTGAAATGAGTCAGTGTTGGATTGGGTTTAACTTTAGTGGGCTCAATGTTGGGATTTAAGTTGGATTTGTAAATTTGTCTTGATGAATTTCATCCCTCCAACTTTTGATTTCTTCAATTGAGTCCCTTGTCTTAATTTCTTTCCACTTCTTCGTGAAATTCCCTTTTGCTCACAAACTTAACAATGAAAACAAAACAAAAGATATTAGTTAAAATAAAGATAAAACTAAAACAAAATTTTATTAAAAATTTGAGTTATGATAGTAATCTATGAGTTATGGACTGTTGATAGTCAACATTCTTATCTCTCTTTCAAACTTGGCATGGCAACAAGGAATATCTACTAGTTTCAAACACTAACAATGACATTTTTTTTTTCTATTTTATAGCTTTCTACATATCATTTTAGTGATTGCTATGTAATCTTTAGGTATAGGTGGCTTTCTACATTTAATTGTCCTTATCTATCATGGGCATAATTTTCATATGTATCTAGTGCTATAGTATATAGCTTCCACTTGGCTCTTGGTGTCATGATATAAGGATTCGTATGTAATTTCATTACTCCTATTAATAAAATTCTCAATTTTTCATAAAAAAAAAATAATAATAAGGGGAGTAACCTTTGGTGTGCTCTTAACCCTACCCTTTGCTATCAGTCTTTCTCTAGGATTTTCTCTTCTCTAATAAAAGTTGGTTTTCTTTTCCTCTCATTACTTGTTCACTTCATTTTTCTCTTGTTTTTTGTGCAAGGCTCATCATGCATGAGGAGTGTTGCCTTACGTGGGGTTTGTCATTGTGAAGGGCTTGTCATGGGCTTGTTGAGTATGAATGGAGCTTATATTGTGAGTGGTGCAATAGGTCACAATAGGGTATTACCTTAGTTTGGTTGAAAAATGAGGGTTAGCAAGCTATACCATCAAACGATGGGAAGCCATGAGAGATATCATTAGTGTAGGAATGGAATTCAATGGTTCACAAAGGGTAGAAAATTTGAGTTAGGGTGGTAAGGCGTTGATAAGAAAGAGAATTAATCTCAATCATTGAGGAATGGCAAGCATATAAGTGAAACTGGGGAAAGATGTTTCTTCTCTAGTTTGTAAATAGACTTGACATTAATAAAGCTATGTGGAAGGCACCCTAAAATTTTAGCAAGTTTCTTGTGGTTCCCAAGAAATTTGATTTTTCTCTTTTGCCACGACAATATGATTTTTTTAAGAATCTTTTCTAAATTTACATACATGATTTTCCCATGGGTTTACGTAATGAAAAGGTAGGTTTCGGGCGTGGAAGCTTGATGGGAGGGTTCTTGAGGACAATAAGAGTAAAAAAAATCATTACAATTTTGGATTTGCTTACCTATAGAGAAACCATTATGTTGATTTACAACATCCAGTGTTGCAACATAGGAAACTAGAAGACTTCATCTAAAGTATAAACAATTGCTTGATTTCCATTACCTTTGCAAGTGTATAATCCATTATGAGAATGATTGTTGAGGTGGGATATTGAATTAAGGAAAGTGGTAAGAAAATTGTTTAAGTGATATAATGCTTGGCTTAGGGATGATTGGATGGATGCCCTCTTGAGTTTAAGGGACTTGATTTCTCTTCCTTTTCTTATTAATGTTTTAAAACCTAAATTGGTGATCCATTCATTTTGACCACCAAGTCTGATTCAATAAGATCAGTCAAATTGATTGGTCTAATTAGTTAACTTAATAAATATTATTAAATCAATTTTATTAATTTTAAAATTATTTTTATCTTAATTGATTTTTTTTTAAAAATTGATTGAAATAATTTTTACATTAATTGATCAAAGTAGTTATTGATTTTAAAAAATTTATTTCCAAATTTCATTACATTTTCATAATTGATTTCAAATTAATTTCATTCATTAAATTTATTAAAATACCTAATATATTTTTCATTTATCAACCATCTAAAGCATTGTTACACTCACTCATCAATTTTTTTCTTTTGATTTTAGATTGCACAATGGAAGACAACTTTCTCTTATTCCTAATCTCACTTCGCTTGCATGTCATATAATTCAAATTTAAAATCTATTACTTTCATGGGAAGGATATTACCATTAAACTATTTAAGTTATTAGTAACTCTCACATCCATCTTAATACTTTCTTATAATGGTATTTACAAATTGCTTATCAATAAAGGCTACCTACCATACTTATTATATTTTCATGATTGATCTCACAAAACGATCTAAAATATCATCTAAAATATCACTAACACTCACATTGTAAGCAAGAAGTTTTGTTGGTGTATCCAAAAAAGTAAATAAAAAGTTGCTAATGATACATGCATGTTGAGTTTCCTTGATAGGTTAGCTGAATGTATTCACTTTCTTCAGCACCTACATATAAGGCATAACTTTGTAAAATAAAATTTTGCCACCTAACAACTCTTACTATGTGTTAATTTATACATCGTTTGATATGAACAATTTAGGATTGGTGTTATTGTGTTTCATGCAATTCTCACTAACAAATAACAGCAACAACTATTGTTATTTTTTATCCAATCAATTATTGTAAAATTTTTTTTGATATTTAATTTAATATATATAAATAAATGATAGTTAATATTTAATAAAAAAAGTATTATACTAATATATAAAATGTATCTTGTGAACCTAATTGACTACATTTTTGTTCTCTGTTATAAATTGTTCAAAGACTAGTTTTTTTTTTTTTTTTTTTTTACAATGGTAATGGTTAAAAAATTAAAATGAATTAGTTGTTAATAATTAATTTTCAAATTAGATGAATATTTCACACAAGACATACGGCTATCAAACTTACTCAAGTTTGAGGTCCAACCATTGAAATTAAAGAACCGGTTGTGTGTTTAAAGACTAGTTAGTACTCTTACAAAGGGAACCAAAAACTGAGACGGTGCACCTTTTTGGGGGAGCATAACTGCGAATGTTTATGTTTTGTCACACGAGAAAGAAATTGGAAAAAAGAGAGGATTATGCCTCTTGTATGGCTGATGCTGATGAAATAATCGGATGCAACTTTAAAAAAAAAGACGAAGGAAAAGGTCCGCGAGGTTGAAATCAGGCGGTGCATTAATTGACCCACTGGGTTACTGCCACTCTTCACTTTCAATTCAGCTGTTTAGGGCTTAAATAGGGTTTTGTATGTCATCGTCATTGCTCCGACCCCTGCAACTCTTTCCCGCCCGATTTTTCCCTTTTTTCTTCTTTATGCTACCAATCTTCAAGTGCTCATTCTCTCTCCTAGGGTTGCATTAACCAAAATGGTGTCTCCAAAACAACTTCTCTCCACCATCGAATCCTCGCTTCTTGGCCCCTCTCCTCCTACGCCGGCGCAGCGAATCGAGCTCCTTCATGCCATTCGCAGCTCCATCTCTTCCCTCAAATCCCTCCTGTCCTTTCCGGTGCTCTCTTATTCTTCGATTCTTCAACAATTTCTGAAAACTTTGAATCAGCTAGTGGTTTCTGTGGACCTAATGATTTCTCCTTTTGATTTTGTAGCCCCCGAAACCCTCAGACCGGGCGCAGGTCCAGTCCAGAGAAGTTAGGCTTCCGGATTCTCCACCAATTTCACTTGATGATCAGGATGTGGAGACTGTAAGTTGAACCTGAATCTGTTTGTTGTTTTTTCTATACTCTTTCTGCAATGTGTTGTTTATTCTGCTGTTTTCTTACCGTAACGCTAACATGTCTTTGATTATAGGCCTTGAAATTGAGTGACGACTTGTATCTAAATGAAATAGATTGTGTTCGTCTTCTTGTTTATGCTAATCAAGAGGTAGTTCTCTTTCCTCTTTGCTTGTCATAATTTCTCATCGGTGTCTTATTTGTATTCCATTTTTGTATTGTCATAATTTTGTTTTTTCTTACTTTCCATTCCAGTGGGGCTTAATGGGACGAGAGCCATTAGAGATTTTGCGTCTTGCAGCTGGACTGTGGTATACTGAGAGACGAGATTTAATAACAGCTTTATATACACTTCTAAGGGTTGGTCTTTTCTTCTGAAATTTCAGGCTCTTTTATCTTTGGATTGCAATCATATTTTACTGTTATTCAAATGGTTGTTATGACTGTTTCTTTTTGTAGGCTGTTGTGCTCGACCAAGGACTTGAAGCTGATCTTGTCTATGACATCCAGAAGATTCTCGAAGATCTTGTCAATGCTGGACTCAGACAGCAGTTGATTTCTTTAATTAAGGTTTGAATCCTTTGCTCTTAAAAAAAAAAAAAAAAAAGGTTTGAATCCTTTGAAATTATTTATTTTACACGGTCATCCACTTCAAATTAGTTACTGTGTTGTTAGTTATTCTGTTATTTGAACTATTCTTAATTTTAGTAAATTTTGCCAGTATGTTCAGGAACTTGTGACTGACAACAACTGCAGTGTTCGATAATTCATCTTGTCACAGTTCATACTTCTAAGTTCTTAAGACAATTTTATATGGTTTTCTGGCTGGAGTTTGTCATAGACTTAGGGTGCGGTTGGGATTGTTGTGAAGTACTGTTACTGTGGCTGTAGCTGTGTTGAACTATGTTATGCTATAACTATAGCTGAAAGTTAGTTTGGTGTTTGGTTGTTTATTTCTTAAAAGTATTATGGATGAAATATGGTAGATATTATTAATTATTAATTAAAATTTTAAAAATATTGTAAGGTATATAATTATTAAAATAGATAATATTTATTATTTTTTAATAATTTAAGTTTTTTAAACTTGTTACTATTATTAAAATATTAGAAATTATGATATAATTAAATTATATGAAATTGGGTTTTAATGTGTAATTTTATAATTATATTAAATATTAGATGTTCTCTGTAAAAGCCACAACCAGAAAATTCAAAAATAAGGTTTCTGGTTTTATATATAAAATTACCATAGATTTACTGTGGTTTTCTATAGCTTTTAGAAAAAGCAGTCTGAAAAAAAATTACCAAATACATATATATCTAAAAACACCATATGGCTACACGAAAATGCTCCCAACCACAATCCCAAACACACCCTTAATTGGAGCACTTCATTAGTATTTTAAAAATAAGGCAGCAAGTGAATAAGTGTATATCCATTGCATACATTTATAACAGACCATGGTCTAACATCTGATGTCCCATTTTATTTGTCTCTATGAGTGTGGGGCAGCATTTGCATGAAATATATGAGGCAGATGTAATTTGTAGTTGTATTGTTCTTAAATGCTGTTATTTATATGGCTTACCAAAAGAAAAAAAAAAAAAAAGAAGAAGCTGTTATTTATATTTATTGTCAACAGTTTGGCCCTAAGATCTTTCTGGATCCCAAGCCAACTGTTAACTACTACATAACCTAGAAGCTATATGAAGTATGCACATTAATGGAGGTCAGTATAAATATGATTCAGTTTTAGATTATCCTGATGGTTTGATCTCTCTTCTATTCAATAATACTTATTTCTGCAAGAATTCCAATTCGTATAGCCAATGCATTATGGTCTAAAGACTTCTTTTGGGGGTACCTTCAGGGAATATAGAGTGTTCCAAGGTACAACCTGGGTGGTTTAACTTAGTTAACGTTTTCTTAGATTGAGAAATTAATCTGTCTCTTGCTTGTTAGATCTCATTATGTTTTGGAAAAATGAGTTTAAGTTGAATTCAACTTTTAGTGCACTCATCTCTTTATATTTTTGGTACAACATCCATGTCAAAGATGCATAAAAATTCTACCAGGGAAATATTAGAAGAATTATGGTGTCAGGGCTCACTGATAAACTAAACAATCTAACCATATCAATACTTTGGCTGCAATTTTTGTGGCTTCTGGGGTAGAAAATGATCTGAGTCATATTTTCAGTTTCAATTACTTGGTAAAATGATGAGTGTGAGTAAAAGTTAATGGTTTTAAGAATATTTTTTTATTTTTAACTCAAGTCTTACCTAATCATGGGGCTTTTATGGTCTACTGATGAAGCTTTTAAGATGGAAAAGAAGTTTGTAAGTGCAGCAGATAAGGTATTGAGAAGAGTCCTCTTCTTTAAAGCCAGGGAACCCAACTTCTTGTTTAGAAACCATCATTAGAAGATGGTGCTATGAAGGCATAGTAGACAATAGTGAGGGTGACAGGCATCAATGGGGGCCACTTAGATGGTGAATTGTCACTAACATTTCCTAGAGCAATGATGGTATTGAAGGACCCTCCTGCAGGGATAAGTGAGGTTTTATTGGGTAACCAGCACTCTGCTGAGTTTGTTGTTCTAGGAGTTTCTATTCTATCTTCCACACCAGAAAAAAGATTCAACCAGGTTTTGTTAGGATGCTTACTCTGAATGGAAGCTTGTTATATTTGTCCAGACAGACCCTTTTTTTAATATTATTTTTTCTGTTGTTGCATTTTGAAACATTTCTTCTCGTGTACTTATAGTTTGCATACCCTGGGATGTTATGATGGATTTTCTGATTCTTTGCAATTTATCCTGTATTTACTTTAATAAATTTCCCTTGATCAATTGTAGAATGAGAAATTGTATCTTTTTGTTTGTCTTAGGTGTTACTATTATGTTTTCCATTTTCTATGTTATTTTTACCTGTATTTTGTCTGATTTTTAGGAACTCAATCATGAAGAGCCAGCTGCTTTGGGTGGGCCACTTGCTGAGCACTATCTTCTTGATTCTAGAGGTGCTCTCGTTGAGCGGCGAGCTGTGGTTTGTAGAGAAAGACTCATACTTGGACATTGCCTTGTCCTTTCTGTTTTAGTTGTTCGGACTAGTAAGCCACCACTTATGTGCTTTCTTTCCTACTTCCTGCCCCTTCTATTCTGATTACTTCTATTTAGTTGCTTTGGAACTTTTCTCTTTGTTTTGCATCTTCTAAAAGAAGCTATAATCATTAAGGTGCTCTGAGGATGCTATGATATTCACTTTATGCAGGTCCAAAAGATGTTAATGATGTTTTTTCTACTTTAAAAGATAGTGCTGCTGAGCTTAAGGATAGCAACAGCACTTTAAAACACCAGGCATCTCTCTCTCTCTCTCTCTCTCTCTCTCTCTCTCTCTCTCTCTCCTGAAAGGTGGCTTTTTTGTTTTTATGTTTTTCCACCCATGGACATGCCTGTGTGCAATTTCACATAGATTGATGGACTTTCATGTATGTAAACTATGACTTTTTTTTTACCCCTGTGCAGATTACCTATAGTCTTCTTTTTTCACTTATCATCGCCTTCATATCAGATGCTCTTAGTGCTGTACCTGAAAAATCCTCTGTCCTCTCCTTAGATGCATCCTTTAGGAAGGAGTTCCATGAAATGGTAAGATGATCAATAATGTTTCCATTTCCCTTTATCTCTTGGTAATGATCATTGTTCTGATAATTTTCAACATCGCTGAAACTTGTTATTTTAATCTTGTAGGTGATGGCTGCAGGAAATGAGCCAAATGTTGAGGGCTTTGTTGGTGGCATAAGGCTTGCATGGGTTGTGCATTTAATTTTAATACAAGATGAAATTGGTTTAAGGGAGTCAGTCTCCAGTGCTTCATCAAATGATCTGGGCCATATAAATATGTGCTTAGAATCAATTTTCTTGAACAATATTTTCCATTTTTTACTGGAGAAAGTTCTTAGAACTGCTGCTTTCCAGGTTGGTTTGTTTTAACATTTTCTGTTTGTATTTTATAACCATTGGCATATGAGTATAGCATGCAGTGCAATTTATTAATTTCTAACAACTAAACTGAAAAGGCACTTATGTACTCTTGCATGGGTTGGGGTTCATCACTATCTCAAAAGTTATCACTAACTTCATGGATCTTGGTATTTGTTCAGATAAGGATCTTGTTATTTGTTTAATTAATAAATTTTATTTGATTAATTAATACAAATGCAGATTTCACTGTGCATGGATGGACTCTGAATTTATGAGTATTGGAGTGCTTTATTTCTTTGACATTGTTTTTTGTTTTATTATGTGCTTTCTGGGGCCAATCTAGTGGCATGGGATGGGAAATGAAGCATGGTCTTGGGGAGGGCAAAAATTAAGGGTTAAATAGCAGCAAAGGATAGGAAATAAATGTTGGTAATTAAGATCTCTAATCGGTTATGTTGTTGAATAAAGAATGAATTTGGAAAACTGAGATTGAGAATTGGTGTTTTTTCTGCTGTTGTTGCAAATGGAACCAAGACATGAAAAGTATGTTTTAACCAATTGAGTTTGGTTAGGGTTTGTGAAAAGCAATTTTCTGGGGTTGATGGGGACAATTTTAAGGATGTTAAGTCAAAATGTTGCTGAAAGTTAAAAATAAGGATTATTATAAGATAAAGATCTTAGATACATGTCTCAATTTCTTTTGGAGGAATGCCAAGGTCCAAAGAATCCACATAGGGTTAAACTTGCTTTATACCATTTAGGAGAAAAAGCATAATGCTGTTAAATTTTTATCAACTTAGTACTTGACAATTGAAGGAATTAAATGCTTACATATGCTTCTATCTAACAAGGAGTTCAGGTTCAAGAATTGAGATAGCAATCTGTTAGAGCTCACTTCAAAGAACTCCTAAACAATATAACCTTACCACAGAAAACACTTAGAATAAGACTGTTGGAATAAAATATATACAGTTTCCAGCATACTCTTGATATCTAAATCTATGTAGACTATAATGAAATAAAAGCAACATGTTTCCCTCATATATAATTACAAAATATAAACAATGCCTGAGTTTGTATGCTATTTTTTTGAGTACCTAAATCTCACCAAGATTAATTGAAAACCACACTTTAAATTTTCTTAGTGCTTAGTCTTTCTCTATATCAAATTGCTTTCATTATTGGCTCATGCCATGCCCATTCCTTCTCTAATTTTTGGAAATCTTTTATCCATCAATTCTTTAGTGCGTGCATTTTTTGTGTTTGTTTTCTCTGTTCTGCATTCAAGAAAACTTGTTTTCTATGTTGTTTGTGCTTGCTATACAATGTTGAATGGATGATTAATTTAAGTTAGTAAGTTGATTTTATCATTTTAGTTTCTCCTTTTGTTTCTTATTGAATATTCGTAAGACAGTTTTCCTTGCATGTTTGTAATTTTGCAGAATGAGGATGAGGATATGATATATATGTATAACGCTTACTTACATAAGCTGATTACTTGCTTCCTTTCCCACCCACTTGCCAGGGACAAGGTTAGTTGAATCTTTCCCTTTCTTTCTCTATATTATAAAAGTATTTTAGGGAGTCTTATGCAGAGGGTAGTTTCATAAACTTTACAAATACTTATTATTGATTTTGATTTTTTAAATATTATTGGTAGAGGCAACTTCAAATTGTCTGTCTAGTAATTCCATCTTGATTCTTCTTTCTTTTAAAGGAAACAATGGTGAGAGACCTTCTAGGCGTTATATGCATATTTGCATCTTTCTTGTTTAACCATGTTTTCTGATGTGGACAACTGCATGTGGTTGAACATAGTTTCTTTTAGCTTGCATGAGGTTCATTTTTGTGATTGGCCTCAATTTATTGCTTCCTGGTGACCAGATATATACTACTGTGTATGTGATGAATGTGTTCCTCTATGCGTGTCTGAATGCTTCCTTGCAGGGTTCCAGTTCATCTAATGTAGTTACTAGGATCATGTATATATATACATATACATTGTTTGGTTGTCCACTTAGAGCTTGCTCTTGGCCTTTTAAAGTTTTTCAAGTAGATGGATGAACTTGTTTTTTCTATATATGGTTTCATCTCAATGGTAGCCTATCTTAGAAATAGTGTTAATATCCTTGGTATTATTATTAATTTCTTTATTAATCTTGTTGCATTGCTGGAAAACTTTAAAGTAATTTTAGGAAGATCTAATGCACATTTCTTAGGCAACCAAACCACTGTTTTTATTTGTCATCCGTTTATCATCAATACAATTGTGCTGACCACTCCCATGCCTATGGTTCTGCATGAAATTTTTTCTGAAAAATGCCAAAAACCGTTGGTTGTCCTTGTACTTGTGTTCAGTTACACCTAAAAAGTAATTATGTGAATCATTGTCACCTTGACTATTTTAATGTAATCCTTTGTTCTAGGTGAAAGAGTCAAAGGATAAGGCTATGACCATGCTTAATTCATATCGCACAGCACCAGATTTTGTACACGAAAGCACCTTGCATGGTCAACAGGCCACTGAGAGTGGTCCTTTACCTTTTGTTTCTCTCTTGGAGTTCGTGAGTGAAATTTATCAGGTTTGTGAATAGTATGTGTATCTCCTGTTAATTTAAAAGCCAAAAAAACTTATTTCTGATATGCATTCTGTTGTTGTATTAGCAGTCCAATTGAAATGTTTTGGAATCTGGAGATTTCAAGATGAATTTGTTCCTAATTGAAAATTTGAGCACTGAATCTTGTATGTTTTATTTTAGTGTTTCATTGGCAATTCTAAATTTGACCTTGTTATTGGTATATCAGATAGAACCTCTTTACAATGTTTTGATTGGTAAAAGCCAATGGTCATTTCTTTTTCATGGATGGATATGTTTTTCTTTCATCTTTTCATCTCCCACTCTTTTATTTTTTTTCTCTTGTAAAACTTTTGATTGAAGTAACAACCCATTTCATTTAGTTTATACAAAAACCTTTTGTAATTCATAACCTTTTATTCTCATTATTGAATAGTCTCTAAATGTAGACATGATGTCTAAAAATATCCAATTTACTCTGCAGTTTTTTTTGGTACTAATGGTGGGCTATACAAGAGGTGATAGCCCTCCCCTTTTCCCAAATCCCTCCCCACCCGACTCAAGGTTTGAACTTGAGATCTTCAACTCGGAATCTCAAGCTCCTAACCCATTGGGGGTCCAATTTACTCTGCAGTACTTCTGTTTTTATCCTGCTGTGTTTATTCACTTGATCATTTTCTTTTCCCTACTGTTGTGCTTATCTATATTCTTATTTTATTAATGAACTTTATCCATAATTCTTTTAGAGGGAACTAGAGCTTTTGTCTGGCAATGACGTCTTGTGGACATTTGTGAACTTTGCTGGAGAAGATCACACAAATTTTCAAACTCTTGTGGCTTTCTTGAATATGCTGAGTACCTTGGTATGTTACAAACATAATGCTCTTCATAAAGCCTGCTTTTTTTATCCTTTGTCATACCTTACATTTGTAATATAATTGATGTTCTTTTTAGGCTTGTAGTCAAGAAGGTGCTTCAAAGGTTTATGAGTTATTACAGGGCAAAGCATTTCGTTCTGTTGGATGGAGCACACTGTTTGATTGCTTAACAATTTATGATGAAAAGTTCAAACAGTCCCTCCAGACTGCTGGGGCCATGCTACCGGAGTTCCCCGAGGGGGATGCAAAGGCCTTGGTTGCATATTTAAATGTTCTTCAAAAGGTTGTGGCTTGTTTCTTTTGAAAACAATTTATAACCTGTCCAATATTTTTCCTTTGATTTTGATTGTTTTATAGGATGCTCTTTTTCCTCTTGATTATCATATTTGTGAGTCTATCATTTCTCATGTGGCTTTCTCAACCAACTTCTTTAAGCATTATGTGCCAACAAGCATGATTATCATTGGCTCTTGTTTATTAGAATTTGTTCTGTCTATGTAGACTCAGTAATGTGTCACACATGGATTTTCATTATGGGCAACTAGAGTGTTGGAATGAAAGATTTTCATCATGGGGCGTTCACTCTATGATGTGTCACACGTGGATTTTCATTATTTTTATTGGCATGTGATCACAATGGCTTTCTGTTTGGATCTTAATTTTTATTTCTTTGATGGCAAGGTGCTTCAATTGACATTTTGATTGCCTTTCTTCTTGATTTTGTTTACATAAGTATTGTTGTTCAAACTTGAAAGTTGGAGGAGAGTTGTGTGGTTTTAATTTTTTCTTTGTCTTGTTCATGACTGTGTCGTAAATGCATTTAGTTCTCTCTTTTCCATTAATATTTGAAGTCACAATGTCTTTGGAATTTACCATTGTGGTTGAGGATTGAACATGTTACTTATCTGCATTCTCCCAAGATGCTGATATGTTTACTGTGTTGTAGGTGAGAGACTTCCACCCTTCCCTCACCAATTGAACCAAAGGGAAAAGACCTACATTAAAGAAAAAAACAACTTGCTTTGATTTCTAACTCATTTGAATTTTATGGGCAAATGGTGGTTTAGAACAGTCATAAATATTAATACTTTATTTACCACAAATTACTGGTATGATGTTTTCTAGATGAAAAATTTTCTGCCTCTCACCCCAACATTGAGGGGGGTGGAAGGACTTATTCTAAGAATTCCTTTTTTCTTTTCATTTAACACTTCTCATTGTTCTTTTCAAGGGGGGAGTTGGGTTATAGACGATAGTTTGCAAGTTATTTAATTCATTGCTGTTCCTGGTCTGCTAATTAAAATTTATGGTCAATATTTTTATTCTTGCTCTTCATGTTTGTGTACCTATTGCGTGTGCATAAATGCTTGTGTTGTGTCTTTGTTCTAACTTTTGGTAGACTTTTTGGGATGAGTTTGGGGGACTTTGCATGGGTGCCTCTTTATGGATGCATGCATACTTATTTTCTCTGGGTAGGATACCCATGTCTATTCAGGGACTCAATTTTATGTTACCTTTATCTTTCCTTGTAGAGAAAATTGATTTTCACTCTTAATTTCACATTTGCTACAGGTTATGGAAAATGGTAATCCTATTGAAAGAAAGAACTGGTTTCCTGATATTGAACCATTATTTAAGCTCCTAAGCTACGAAAATGTTCCACCCTACCTGAAGGTCGATTGCTCATGCTCTCTCTCTTTTAATTGTTTTTTGAGGCTTGTTTTGAAGATTATCTCAGCATGACTCATTCCTAAAGTTGATTTTCAGAGGAGTCTTTTTTAGTTGTTTATATCTCTTTCATTGACAGGGTGCTTTACGGAATGCAATAGCTACTTTTGTCCAGGTTTCTCCTGTACTAAAAGACACTATTTGGAGTTTGCTTGAGCGGTTTGATCTACCAGTTGTTGTTGGGTTACATGGTGCCCAACGAATGACGGCACAGGTTTGGTTATCTATTTGATAATTTAATTCCTTTTTGGTTGGTGTAACTGCATAATTTATTGGTCTATAAGAACAATATTAGTCCTGCACTCTATATTGTTTTTATATATATTGGGTCCTATTTTATCCATCTATGTTCTAAATCACTTCCCTGGTCAGCTGATCAATTAAATATTGTGACCAGAAGGGTTCACATAGCTTTTATTTTGACTGATCTGGTTTTGGGGGCTGTTAGGGCTACTAGCTACTATTAGTTCTGTGGCAGTATGGCACTTTCCATTTTATCCACTCATGCTCAATCTTTTCCATTTTTCTATTTCTCCCTTCTAATGAAATCATTTTTAGTTATTGGCATTTTTAATGAATGCATGATATGGGAGTTTTCTCATGATTTTTATAGAATACTTATCTGTCACATGGGTGGAAGCATAGAATCTTCTTCCCATCCCCACCCTACTTCTCTTGTTCATTTAGCGCAAATTGTTTGATATTGTATTTAGTTTGTTGATCAATTCTTTCTTTTTTCCTTTTTATTTGTTGTTGTTGTTGTTGTTGTTATTATGATTATTATTGTTATTATTATTATTATTATTATTATTATTATTATTATTATTTTATTTTATTTATTTTTAAACTTAGTCAAACGTTATTGTCCCTTATCATGCCACCACTGTGTTTCTCTCATGCGTAAAGATAGTTTGCCTATTACAATTAGAATATCTCTATATGAATATTTGTGTTAATAGTTGTTTTGATAAGATTAATTAGTTACATAAACTGCAAAAGCGTCATGGGTTTTTTGTGTAGTCAATTGCATTAATTTATGGGCAAGTCAGGCTAGCATATTTGATTTGATGACTTTGGCTGTTTAGAAAGAGAAAAAGTTATCTGCTGTTTATGCTAAATAGAATGTTATTTTTGTATTGACAGGTTTATGACATGCAATTTGAGTTGAATGAGATAGAAGCAAGAAGAGAGCAATACCCTTCAACAATATCTTTCCTTAACCTGTTAAATGCTCTTATTGCTGAGGAAAAAGATGTCAGCGACAGAGGGCGGAGGTACTGCAGTTCCTTGGAATTTCAATTTCATTTTAACTCGTTGCACCTTTTGACTTTAGAGCCTTTCTTGCAGATTCTTTGGCATCTTCAGGTTCATTTATGATCATGTGTTTGGGCCATTCCCCCAAAGAGCCTATGCCAATCCTTCTGAGAAATGGCAATTGGTTGTTGCTTGTCTTAAGTATTTTCATATGTGAGTACCCAATTTACTGTAGCTCCTTCAGTGATCTTGGCTTTTTAGGAATCATCTAACTTGTAATGGTTTTATTTAAGTTAGTATTTCATTTGTTTGACACTTTTCCACTTATCATTTTCTTTCCAAAACCTCATTAATAATATTTGAGGAACTGCATTTTTCATCTCTAACGTTTTGGTCAAAGTAGAGGTTGGTTTCCTTTGTTAGTGTTGTAGCCCACAATCCTTTTTGTAGTTTCTCAAGTAGTGCAATTTGTTTGCTTGGTTTATTAAATCTTGATGGAAATTCTGTACACCACCTAAATGGCGTCAAGTAATACCCACAAATCTTTTCAGAAAGTATTAAGGATCATTTTTTTATTTACCCATAAATATCAAATCTACTGCTTTTATACTTTGTTTGACTTTAATTAATGATTAACTAATTATGTTTGAAAAGAAGAAAATAAAAAAAATGGTTCTCCTACGTGGGACCAAGTTTGGTGCTGCTCTGTTGGAATACCTCAATGGTGCTGCCACTGGAGCTCCACCTTTGGAGCAGATGTGCTCTGGTCTAAATGACCTAATTGGTGCTTCCATCCAAGCACTGCTGGTGCTCTTGTGCCAGGTCAATGCTTATGTATGGAAGCATCAGATTGTTGCTTTGGTGTTCTGGTGGAGGAGCACCTCTGGTGAGTTGGATTTTTCTTGTCAGTTTATTTTTATTTTTTAATTAATATAAAATATAAAATTAATAGTTTTACTAATTAATAAATTTGATTAAATATAATCAGGGTTAAAAACTTCATTTCAATGTACCTAAAAAAAATTAATTTCATGACCATGAATCTATAATTATAATTAACGTGGGATTATTTGACAAAATTTGATGGTAAAGGGAAAATGAAAAAGATATTCCAGAGGCTAAATTGATGATTTGGTGTAGTATTAAGTACTTAAAGTTTCCTTTCCCATTCCTTCTTGGTTTTTAGCCTTTTCTAAGTTTTCTGGGTCATCGTGGTGCTGCATAGGTGACAAATTGATTTCAGTTTCATGCAATGGTTGCCACAAAAAAAGGGAATTTACCTGTATTTTTGTTTTAGTTCCAATACTTTTTGATTTTTTAAATTAGACTAGTACTTTGGTTATCCCTTTGCTTTGTTATCTCATTAACTGTCTTTTGGGTGAATGGAAGGTTTTAAAATATTGCAAGTTTATTTCATGTATTATACAGGATGCTTACAATGTATGACATTCAAGATGAGGATATTGAAAGTGTTGTTGATCGATCACAAGTTTCAATTGCAACACAACAAACTGTGCCTCAGATGCAGGTTCCAGTCATAGAGCTGCTAAAAGTATGTTTTTTCCATTGACAAAAAATTTTACAGAAATTTAAATCATGTTAAACATGCTTGTCCTAACTTAGTAATTTGACCGTTTTAAAAAATGATGACTTCATCAACCGGTGTTAATTTCTCATCTTATTGCATCATCAACCCATTGTTGGCATCTTTCTTTTGGCAGGATTTCATGAGTGGTAAAACTGTTTTTCGAAATATTATGGGTATCCTTCAGCTGGGAGTAAATTCAGTAATTACAGAAAGGACTAATGAAGTCTATGGGCAACTTCTAGAAAAAGCTGTGCACTTATCACTGGAAATTATGATTCTTGTCTTGGAGAAGGATTTGCTTCTTTCTGATTTCTGGCGTCCTCTATACCAGGCAAATATCTTATCTTTGCTGGTTCTTTAATTTAATTTCTTCATAGTCATGTATGTACTTCAGAGTCCCTATGTCATGTGATGGACTAAGTTGGCAATGGCTTAGCAAAATTTTGAGTGAATTTTGGATAAGAAATCAATTTCCAATGATCATCAAGTTTTTGAAATTAAAATCTGACTTTGATTAAATAATCTGGTGTCTTTTTTAATTTATCTGTACTGAGCAATTTGCACAACTTTTGGGTTTTCTACATGAGGCTTTTTCCAATGCTTCTTTACAGAGGTTATTGTTAACCACAGGCTCTTTTTATCTGTTCCATTCTTGGCCTCTGCTCTTGAGCATCTTCTCCACAGTTAGCAGAGCCTCTGGAAACTTGTGAATGCTTCATTTGCAGTTTTGTGTTAATAGATTTCCCACGATGATAATATTGAGAGTGGAGAAGGTTCTAAAGGCCATATTTTATTTATATTATATGAGAAATATTACTGTGTGGTTATGTGTTTCTGTTAATGTGTATGCTTTCCCATATGTGCACACAGTTAGTCTCTGCTGAGTGAGATTCCTTCTTGTATCATATGACAACAGCAACTTTGATTCTTAAGCAGCAGTAATAAGATTCTATTGCTCTTAATGAATTTTTGTGTCTGACAAATAGTGAAACTAAAAAACCTGTCAAGATTTTTCATGCATCTGTATGATTTGTTTGGAAAATAATAATATATACAAAAGGAAAAACGCAATCTTACTACTTGACCATTCTCCTTGCAGCCCGTGGACATTATACTGTCTCAAGATCATAATCAAATTGTAGCTTTGTTGGAGTATGTTAGATATGATTTTCTACCTCAAATTCAGCAGTGCTCTATCAAAATCATGAGTATTCTAAGGTTTCCCTGTTTTCCACTTGTCTTTTTCTTTTCCTTTTACATTTTTCTTTTTTATATTTACTGAGAGCTGATTTGTTATTGACACTGCTTTTGGTCAAAGTTCTCGCACGGTTGGGCTGGTTCAGCTGCTGCTAAAATCCAATGCTGCCAGTAGCTTGATTGAGGATTATGCTGCCTGCCTTGAGTTACGGGCAGAAGAATGTCAGGTTATAGAGAACAGTGCTGATGATCCAGGGGTTCTAATATTGCAGGTAATCTGAGTTTTTATTTATGTATTGGAAGAACTTAAATGCTTTGAACAGTTTCTAGAAAGGCCACTTATTTTTACCCTGAATTTTTCAGCTGCTGATTGATAATATTAGTCGGCCTGCTCCAAATATTACTCATTTACTGCTAAAGTTTGATCTTGACACTGCAGTTGAACAGACAGTTCTGCAGCCGAAATTTCACTACAGGTTTTATTGATTTAAACTTCAAAGTTTAAAGTTATATGAGTGTTGAGTCATCCCTTGTACACTTAATTGTGAGTTTTTCAGTTGTTTGAAGGTCATTCTTGAAATGTTGGAGAATCTTTCTAAGCCAGATGTAAATGCATTACTTCATGAATTCAGTTTTCAGGTTAGTGGTTGTGATCTGGATTTCAAAATTTCTTTTTAAAAAATTTCTAGCTTTTACCCATCAATTTCTGTGTTCTTAGAACCAGTAAAATTTCCCATGCTTTTTTAGAGTTTTAAGATTTCATTTTTAAGTTTTCAACCGTTCAATTTGTGCAGCTTCTTTATGAGTTGTGTTTGGATCCATTGACTTGTGGTCCTACATTGGATCTGTTGAGTAACAGAAAGTATCATTTCTTTGTAAAGGTACAAACACTTAGATAATTTTGATTTTAGAGCTTTTAAATTGCACTCTCTCTGTGTTATAATGGTTCAATTAATTTTATGTATTCAAAATCTTACGATTTTTGTTATGACAGCACCTTGATACAATTGGTATTGCTCCACTTCCTAAGCGAAATAGCAACCAGGCACTTCGTATCAGTTCACTGCATCAGGTTTCTTCCTGTTGCTGATTAGTGAATATTTCCATTATTTTGAAGAAATAGTTGTGTGATTATTTGAGTTCCATGCTTTAAGTATCCATGATTTGTTTGATGTGATGTATGAGGAAATCCATTTTTCTTTGAATGATTGTTGTTTATTAATCTTTTCCCATAATGAGGTTTAGAATTGAGACTTAAAAGTATACATGACTTCATCTCTCTAAGAAACTGAATTTGATGTTCCTGTTTCTAAATAGAAATTGTTGTTCAAAATTCTCCGGACATGCTATGGTCCTTGAAATAGTTGTGTGATTATTTGATGTGATGTACGAGCAGAGGGAAATCCATCTCTCTGAATGATTGTTGTTTATTAATTTGTTGTTATAATGAGGTTTAGAATTTAGACTTAAAAATGTACGTGACTTCCTCTCTAAGAAACTGAATTTGATTTTTCCTGTTTCTAAATAGAAAATGTTGTTCAAAATTCTCCTATTTACTTGCAGCTTCTTAAGCCCATTGCCTCATAGTTGGAGTGTGTTTGCGTGTTAATCAAGTTCTGATGATTTAATATGTGAAAGTCTTAATTCTCCTTGGGAAAATGTTTCTTTAAGATCAATGGAATGATGTTTTACATATTTTGATTTATATCATGTCGCAAACTTTCTTTACGTGTGATTTGATCCAGAAATCAAATACAG